AGAACGAAGAAGATGAAGTTCTTAAGATCTCTTTTTGCAAGGAAATAAGGAATATTAGGAGTTGTAAAAATTCCAAAGAAGAGAACTCATGGCTATTTATAGTGTCCAGGGAAGAGTGTTTTCCCTTAAAACCATTTAATGCTGCAGAGTTAGTGGGGCACATGGCGAACGTTGAGGCAGTTATCGTACAGGTGATGAAAACATTTTCCATACTTTCCTAGGTTGTAGGGATATGGCCATCATGGCAGCGTGCAAACGGTTGACTGATAGTGACGTCTTAGGAGAAGGGTAATGATGACTCTGAATACCAGCAGTGGTTGGTAGAAGGCGAAAAGTGCACGATTCACTTTTGTGGCCAAAAATAAGACAGGTGTCGAATGGGAATATCAAAGAATGACCATTTCTTCTAGCATCGAAATTGACATTCTTGGAGGGCAATTTGTTAGCTCCTGAATTTGACACCTACACATGTTGGTCCTACTGGCCAAGAATAGGTTGAAGAAATCTAAAGTTAAAGACGCTTCGACAGAAGAGTTCGTGATGTTAGTTGTGTCGAAGCTATGCTAAGAAGAGAAGAAATACTTAAATGAATTTTCTAAGTTAAAAGGGGTGTTCGACGAAAAAGCCTTTTCCCTTCGACCAGAAAACTTCGTATCAGCAACAAGTGATTTTGAATCTGAAGAAAGGAGAGAAAAGCAATTCACCTGGCAGTTGAAGAAATCAATGTGGCATAAGGACAGAAGTCGAAGTGCATGCAAAGGACACTTGTCCTCATCTTAGAGCAAGGCAACTCCTCAACGGTTACCTAGTTCTAGTATAAATATAGGAATTCTATGTAGATTTCTGTGTGTTCAACTAATTGTACAAGTCATTCAATATTATTCGAGTACCCGCTGCGTGAGAAATAATACTGAGAATGTACGTTTGAAACACCGTATTTTATAATCAAAGTCTTTTACATTCCTTTTTACATTCCTTGCCATTCTTGCTTACAGCCTTTTATCTTACTTGCAAAGTTTATTTTCCCTTGTATTTTACTTGCACGTTTTACCAGATTTCTACACTTAAACTTATCTCAAACCTCTACCTTTTTTAGTTGAATGTGTTCTTTATTAAAATTAGCATTTTTATCAAAACAACACAAATATTTAGCACATGTTCTAGGATCAAACTGATCGATCCTGCAAGTAACCAAAAATTACCCTTTTTAGAAGATCAGCGATTGTTTACCAATTTTCACGGTAAACATAAGAGCATACATTTTTCTACCAAAACTTTTGGTTTTAGATGAGCCAAAAAAGTTCCATGTGCAAAAGTTATAAGGGTTGATTTGTAGACATGACATTTTTCTCTTTAAAAGAAGTCATTACTTGTTTACCTTTTTGGCACACATCACATTACCAATATTTACAAAATTTTAGTTTGGTAGACCAATTATTAAGTCCTCGTGAACCAACTTTTTTAACTATTCCATGTGGATATGGACTATTCTTCTATGTCATATATATGATTCATCCTTGTTACTCAGAAGACAAACATCATTTGATGAAATTTTGTTTAAATTTACGGTGTAGGTATTTTCAATTTATTAAATAGTTAAGATTGTTTGATTTGATTTTGATTTAATAACTATGTATACATAAGAACCAAAGTTTGTATTGTTAACTTTATCATATAGTTGGCTAATACTTAGTAAATTATACTTTAAACCATCAATTAAAAGAACCTCTCAAATTATTGGATCAAAGAACTTTTCAAAGATACCAATACCAATGATTTTTCCCTTGTTTTTGTCACCATAGAAGATAAAACATCACTTTCTAGGAATAAAGGAAGAGAAAAAAATATTCATCTCTAGTCATATGCTTTGAATCACTAATATCAAGGTACCACTTATCGTTTGATAATGTAAAACATTAACGCATAAAAAACTTAAATATTAACTTTAGATACCCAAATCATTTTGAGTTATCTAATGTTAGTTTGAGGGTTTGATCAACTTGACATATGTTATTAGAGTTCTTAACATTATTCTTAGATTCATATCATAGGTCAACCTTATTATATGATATTCTTTGATTATCTAAAAGAAGATTCAAGTTATGTCTTTCTTTAGTGAATTTATCAAGTGTGTTTTATAAATTCTCTTTTTTATTTTTCAAAATAACACATTGATCACACTTGATAGATTCAATTAATACTCCGTGAGAAGGGAAGACTTTTGAGTTAAAACATTTTGTCTCTCTTTAATACCTTCTATTTCTTCCAAGAGGTTTTATTTTCAAATTCTAGAAAATAAATAGTGACTTTAGAAGTGGAGACAAGATGTTTTAACTTGTTTCTTTATTTAATTTTTTGCAAATGCGAAAAAAGATTATGATAAGAGAGATGTGAAGTTACCTTGTTTTTTTTATGATCTGCCATGAGATATGTGTTAGCTTCATGATATGAGGAATCCATATCATTATCGTCCCAGGCGATGTAAGCTTGCTTAGTTTCTTTTTGAAGTTTCTTTAATTTTCTCTAGCTTTGATTCTTATTCTAGTTCTGAGGACAATTTGATCTTATGAGTCCCTTATTTTCGCATTGAAAGCATGTATGAGCAAATGAGGATTTTCCATCGTTATTTTTTTGCTCCTCTTACTGCTTTTCATGTTTCATAAATCTTCTAAAATGTTGAACTATTAGTGTCATTTCTTCATTAGAGTTAAAATATTTTGCTTCCTCAATCTTAAGTACTAGAGTTTTCTTCTCCTTGTCATTTTCTTCATTATCACCAAGTCTTTTTAGCTTTTTCTCGTGTTTCGGAAATTTACTAGAAAGAATAATTAAGTTCATGGATGACAAGTTCTTAGTTTCAAAAATTAGAGTGACTTTGGATTGTCAATTACGATTTAAGCATCTAAGGACTTTTAAAATCAGTTCCTTGTTTTTATAAACTTTTCCTAGAGTTCTCATGCTATTTACAAAGCGGATGAATCACTTTAGAAATCATAAATGTTTTCTTCAAGTTTCATTCTTAAGAGTTCACACTCATGGGTTAAATGTGTTCATCCTTGTTTTTTTTACCTCAGTCGTTCCTTTATGAGTAACTTGAAGGGTGTCTCACATTTCTCTTACACTCTCGCAGTGAGAAACACACAAAAACTCATAAAGATAAAAACTAATAGTGATAATAGTCTTAACTTTTAAACTCTATTGCACTTCTTCTCTTTCTTATTTCATCCAATCGTCTTCCTCTTTATTTACCACATGACCATTAATTTGATGTGAGAGAACAAAATGATCATATTTTTTTATAGATTTTCAAATATCAAAATTTAACCCTTCTATATGGATTCTTATCTTCTATTTCCACAAAGCATACATTTTTCCATTAAATGATGATATTTTCTTAGAAATCATTTGAAGTCATTCCTTTCTACTTTGACGATTAATCTTAAAATATGAGTTAGACTCTGATACCACTTACTAATCAAGTGACTTCAAACACAAGAAAGAGGTGAACTGTGTTATTTAAAAATCAAGATTATTTTAAAATTTTCTTTCTTGAAAACGGTTTACATTAGTCCAATAGAGATAAAACAACGGAGAAGAGGAAGAAGAATGAATTAGAGAGAAAAGAAAAAAATAAATGACATAAAGTAAAAAAGATAGAGTTAGAGATGGTGCACTAGAGATTTATACACGTTAGACCTACTCATGTCCCCAAAAAAAATTTCTTGAAAGTTTCACTAATAATAAGTCTTGAGATTTTGAGGATATGCTCACAAATGTTGTCGGACCATATATCATTGAAAACTTCATCGAACGCCATTTTTTAGCTTAGGTGTTGTCATCATCAGAACCACCAAAATCAACTGATATTTGTACATGCAAGCACATAAATCCATATTATTCACCTTAAAATGAAATACCACAACGTCGAAGATGAAATAATGATGATATGCGTAGACATAGAAGGAGCTAGACACTACCACAAAGATCTATAGAGGAGCCTGGATGCGCTCCCCATCCAGGAGAAATGGAAGGTCAACCAAGCTTGCTTTCCTGGACAGTACCCTTTAGATGTCAACATCACGGAATTAGATACTCGTCTACAGGAAGGAAGATACATCCAAGGATGACCACAGCCTATAGATACCTCTCCCTATCGAGGCTAGGATGAAGATAAAATGTCATTCTTAAATGGAGATTTCGTGTTTATCGAACTCGACAACAATTCAGCAAATACTATAAAAATTATGGAAAATTTACCTAGCACCGTGGAAGACATGCTCATTAAATGCCTCAAGGTCAACACAGACTTGTTTGCATGCTCCTCTTTAGGAGATGTTGAGCATCAACTCTGGTGTGACGTGCCATCAACTAAACATAGACACTTCTCTCAAGTACATCACCCAAGGGAGACGGAGACGGTCTCAATCACCTGAAGAGTATTATGGGCGAGCTCCTTCAAGCAAACTTCATATCAGAGACGAACTATATGTAGTGTCTATCAAATGTGGTGTTGGTCAAGAAGGAAAGTCGCAAATGACAAGTGGCACCTGTACGTCGATTATACTAAATTAATAATCACAATTTTAAAAAGAAAACTGATAATAATTTTGATGTAAAATATACAAACAACATAAATTAATAAGAATTAATTTTAATTTGAAGTGTTATATCCAATCATAAATCAATTTACAATCAACTCACTTATAATCAAAATCAATTCTCTTAAACTCAATTCCATCAACCTCAAAACCAAACACACATTTCTTTCACTGATTCATTCAACTCCAGTCCCAAAATACTGTTACAACACGGCTAAAGTAATAAGACGGGAATAAATGGTAAACAAGACAACATTATATTTCCTTTATAACACAAAATGGTTTCCAGGATTCTCCTAGAGGATGATGATAAAAATCCCATAATCTGCCTCCCAAATTTCCCCACGCAAATGTCTGTCAATTATCAAGATGCATCACAGATGATGGATAATCCCAAATCATTCATTTGTTAACAAATGAAGATTCTGCAAGATCAATGGCACGTGCAAGTGCTGCAGCTTTGTTCTCGCATTCTCTCTGCTCATCAGCTGGATCACTGTCAGCCACAATTCCTGCTCCTGCCTGTAGATGGGCAATCCATTCTCTGCGTTTATTCACATCCTTGTAGGAGTACATTGTGTCAAAATGAGTATTAGTAGGGAAAACTATGGTCCGCAGAGCAAGGGCAATGTCCATATCACCAGAAAATGATATGCCTCCAAATCCGCCACTGTATGGCCCACGGCTTGTCACTTCCAACTGATCAATCAACTCCATGGCTTTAACCTGTTTTACAGCAGAGCTAATGAGAATATTTAGGAATAAAGAAGTCAAACCAAGACTGAATCTTGTAGTTCTCAGAATGTTTAACAAATGGAATTGATAATCTCCACCTGCCACCTTTTTTCTTAGCAAAAACAATCCCAGAATTGAAGAGAAGTGACAACCATACCAGAAACTACCTCAGGAAGAATATGAAGAAGAGCCTATGGAAACCCAGGGTATAATTTACCTTTGGTGCTCCGCTAACTGTACCAACGGGTAACGCCGCCCACAAAGCATCCCAGCTTGTTAAGCCATCTAATAACTCCCCAGTGACCTGTAAACACAGGCACAATTTTCTATTATCCAAAGATAAGCTTTTGAACTAAATGGAATCCAGTAAAACCAGGAGGGACTCTAGCTCACTTGATTCCATACAATTCAATTTTCTGACTGCAATAGTGAACAATGCAATTTAATTACATATCATTCTATTTACTTATTCCAAATTATTTTTTATAATTTGCATTAAAGAACTTACTGTAGAACTTAGGTGCATAACATGGGAATAGCGCTCAATGTTCATAAAATTTTCAACTTGGACAGAACCGGGTTTGGAGACCTGCATATTCATCTTGTATTTAGCACATGACTAAGGCATAAAAAAGGATTAAGAAACACACATAATCTGCATAGAGTGTAAAAAATTAGGATCATACAAAACCAAACAGTGAATCAGCTATGGAATGCATATCTATAACCACAGCATATATATGACACTAATGAAATTTTGACTCCTTCAAGAAGGTGCTTGAAATTTGGCTATGCACACATCAAACAATGACCTCCGCTCAAAAGCCTAGTGACACAATGGGATATGAGTGATACAATTTGAGTGAGAAGAACCATTCTTGATCATTAAATCCAGCAAATACAGACAACTGACCATGTGACCATGTGACCATTTAAGAATTTTTTTGACCATCTATGTAAGATCCAATGGTCAAGAGATGCTAGTCTCATCTCACACAGTAAAACACTCCATTGCCCTAATATGTTCGAGTACACTTTTTTTGGTAGTGTTTATGAGTAGCAACGAATTTCAGTTATAAGTGTTTTAAGTGTCTAGGAGTAATGTTGATTATTATTCGTGTAAACATTAATAATGCAAGAACTTCCTATGAAATAAAAGATGATAAGCCTAGAGTTGAAAACGATCTACCTTTCCAACATCATTTCTCCCCAAATCAACTAGCATTACGTGCTCTGCACATTGTTTTTCATCATTCAAAAGTTCTTTCTCTAACATGAGATCTTCTTTTGGTGTTTTCCCTCTTCTAACAGTCCCAGCAAGAGGCCGATTGGTGATTTTTCTCTGCCAACAAAGATATGAAACACTTACTAATATATGTTTGATCTAAAATGGAGTTCATAATGTGAACGACATGTCTAGTAAAATGGAAGAAGGTTATAAAAGGGCTAATCAACAAGAACAAGGCCAAGTATAAATCTGAAAATTATTGATATTGCTAGGAAGAAGAGTAAACTATAAAGCCAACTCTTTGATTAATTGTTGCACAAGGTTACCTTCTTCACCCGTGTAAGAATTTCTGGACTTGAAGCAACCAAAATACTCCCTCTGGCCTGATTACCAGTATGTATTTCAACAAGTTAACCTTTGCATGCATACTTGAAAAAAATTATATCAGACAAAATGGGCAAACCTGTAAATATGTCATATATGGACTAGGATTAACAATTCTCAGTGCCCTGTAGACTTCAAAAGGGTCTGCAAAAGTTCGGCGCTCAAACCGCTGACTTAGCACAATTTGAAAAATATCACCAGCCAATATGTGCTCCTTGGCCTCCAATACTGCCTTCTTGTATTCCTCATTTGTCATGTTTGACAGTTCCAGTTTAGGACCAAAGAGGCTAGTGATTAACTTTATTGAACCTGCAGGCAGCCTTGGGCTGAAATTGAAAACAATAATTGTAGATACAGAAATGAAAAACACAGGCAAAAGTCATCCCTAGCCTTGATTTAGAACGTTAATCCAAGATGAAAAAATGGGGAAAACAGTTTACTCACGCAATTATATCATGCACCCTAGATACCAGAGTTTCCAGCCTGTCCATTCCATCATTAAGGGCTTTTTCAGCAGAAGAATATTGATCTAACCGAACCCAATGAATCACAAATGCTTTCTGGGTGGAACAAAGTCAAATAAGAAAAATTGGAATACTCTTCTGGACCAAATCGTAAATGATTTCAGTTCACACACACAAACAATTAGGTCACATAATGAACCAGAACTTTCTTAAATACGAATCAAGTAATCAACTCATTCAGATACCACGTGATAAATATAAACGTACCTTTTCGACATGGTCAAACACAATGACATTATCATAAAGGCCCAGATGAATATCAGGAAGGTTTCTGTCATCTATGGGAGCATTTTCAAATGGAAGTTTCTTCTTTTCTACATAGCGCATTGTATCATACGAGAAATAACCCACCCAACCACCTGCGAAAAGAAATCGATGCGCAGTCATACAAAATAAGAAATTTATAACAAATGTACAGGTCCATCAACGCAATATTTAATTTTCTCCTAGAATGTTGAACTGAATTAAAAAAAATCCCCTCTAGCATGCAAGGAAAATATTTTAGACCGTTTCATTTTTAATTTGGCATATGAAGGTACACTTGTAAGTTGAAAAATAAATCAAGTATAACCAGTATACACTTTGTGAAGGTGCGGCTCATAACAGTCAAAGTTAAATCACATAAAAGAAAGAAAAGCTAATAGAAAATACGAAAGGAAAGATAAGAAGTGAGCATAACATGCCCAGTGAGTCTGGCTTTGCATACGCAACAAAACTATGAGGGCAAATTCTTTGGTGAGCCACTTTTACAAACCACTATGATCCGTAGTCAAAGTGCCCCCCGTGGATCAGTGCTTAGAAATAGTTTGAAAGTCCAATACAACAAACGACACCTTCCGAAAGAATAAGATTATATTTCTCCCTTCCAAACGTATTTGACCGATGTCGATTTTTCAAAAACAAGAAAGATGAACATTTGTGCTTCAAAACTCAACTCATACTCGTTTTTCTCATGTTTGTCAATCCGACATCAATCATGTCATGTCACCATCTTATACATGAGAACGGTGAGCTTCAGCTTCTACTTACGAGAGGCTCATCATTTCAGGCAGTGTAGCCAAGATCGAATGTTTAATCTTAGGATCTTACATGCTAAGGATGCCTGAGAATGCTACGATCAGAGAAAGATCGTTTTCGCTGCCAGCATGGTAAAGATCGAGCTTTTTGGGGAACCTGTTGGGGCTTTTTTTTGTGCCTGTATTATAATTTTTATATGCATATATATAGGCTGACCAGTTTAGCCTTTCTGGTCTATTTAGACTATTTTTAATATATATATTCGTATGCCCAAGACAGGGATCGAACTCAGACCTCCGGTAAGTTGGAAGAGACCCACTCTATCTCATTTTTTTTAATAGCTTATGTCTAGCCTATTTAATTAAATAGGCTTTTAAAAAAGCTTAAACCTGACCATTTTATTAAATAGACCTGGTTTAGACTTAAATAGGCTAGGCTATAGGCCCGTTAAGCCGGCCTAGCCTATTCTCATCCTTATTGGTCCACCATGGAACCCACCAACTTTAAGGCATAGGCACTCACAACAAACAGAAACACCACGCATAGTAAAATTATACAATTAATAGCAACTACTATGAGAGCATTTGATATACCACAAAATGCTTCAGGAAGATCATCAATGAGTTGAGGCTTCCACTTCTCCATAATCCTCCGCGGAATCACCAAAGGATCCAGCCCATCCTCTTCTTCCTCTGTCATTAACCCTTCCTCATGGTCAATTATAGTAACCCTATTCTTTTTCGCCACAATTTCCATACACGGCTGAGCTCCAACCACACTATACCTTCCCTAACACAATCCAACAAACACACCACATTTTGACAACAAAATCATCAAAAACTGAAAATCCAAAAAAAAAAAAAAAACAATGAAGTAGTTTACGCCTTACGGTAGTAGAAATGTGAAGACCAGGCTCGGCTGATTCAAAGAGAAAACTAGGAGCATCTCTTTCATCTTCCTTTACCAAACAGCGGTAAGCAAGAACCGGAGTGAGATGATCGGAGAATATGCAACGGTATAACGGAATGACGTTTCCGTTCTTGGAAGCTTCGAGAAACTTGGCTGCATTGTCAACTGAAAAAACAAACCGTTTCAGATAGAAAAAGAAGAAGAAAAGTGAAAAGTGGAATGAGGAGAAAATAGTAATTACCTAGAGGGAGAGATTGAGCGGAGCATCTGATTGGACGGTGGTTTGACCTGGATCTGGAAAGTGAGATGATAGGGAACGGTGCGTTTGCGGAGGTGATGGCTTTCAGCATCGCTATTCACTGACGCAAACACGCAGTTACAATGCAGGAGTGAAGGTTCAGTGGAGTTTCAAACTGAAAAGTATAAGGAAAGGGACAGTGTAATTCGTTGACAGGTGACGGTTTTGACACGTACCGTGGAACGTGAGAAGCCGCCTTTACAGTTTCGTTAGTTGGGCTGGGCTGGGCTGGGCCGGGCTGTTCGTTTCTTTTTGGGCACTATTATACGAGGTATATCTAGAAGAGAGAATTTCTTTTTATGTATATTACTGTTCAGTTAAACCTCTGAAAATTAAAAAATATCTTTTAGATAGGTATATCCGAATGCATCATTATAAAAAATTGTATATTTCGGATATACATCTAAGAAAAATTATTTTTTTTTTACGAAAAATGTGTTTTTGGATATCTATCTATATATATATATATATATATATATATATATATATTCATTGATATGTTTTTTTATTAATTACAAAGGAAATACTGATAATTAGTATTTTAAATCTCTCCATTTAATTTTCACATTTGTATTTTAGACATTTTTTAGAATATACTATTAATGAAATATTTTACTGAATGAAATTGATTTCATTATTAAAAAAAATCAATTTGATTGTTATTAAAAGCAAATCAAACAACTCATCACACTTGATTGTCATTAAATTATTCAATAAAAAATTACAAAATATTTTAATTTATTTAACTATTCAACGGTTAATTTTGAAAATATTATGGTCTTTTATTTGTCATGACAATAAATAGTAACAAATATTATTTCTATTGACATTAAAATATTTCAGATATTCATATTCGAAAACACCTTAAAGACGAAATATTGGGTTACTTCGGATATGCATATCCAAAAATTGTTTAAAAATGAAATATTAGATTATTACTAGGTGTAAAGAGAATTCTCTTTAGAAGATCTTTTATTAAACTTTTATTTATTTTTATTGTAGGATTGTGGCTCGTTAAAGGTGTTTGTCGATAGGCATGGCAATAAGACAGGTTGGGAACAATTTTCATTTCTCTGAAGCTCAAATCCAAATACCTAAATCATATTCGCACCAAATCTTAATGTGGATGGAAAATTAAAACTCAATCTTGTTTTAAACGGATTCGGGTATCCCTGCTCCACCACTGATCTATTTAGTAAAATCAATTTTTTCAAATATAAATATTAATTTTTTTCTAAAATAAAATTACATTACAAATAATAAAATAAAATAATCTCAAAAAATTGGATACACACATCTCAAATATTTTATATAATAAAGTTAAATCAAAATATCAAAACATTGATCATATATTTAATATTCTAAATTATCAAACCTAATTAATAAAGTAGATAATTAAATAAACATGGTGGGTTCGGGATGGATACTAGTGTCTCCATTACCCGCCCCATCCTTATATTTTGTAATCGGGAAAAATTTAAACTCAAACTCAAACTCAGTCAAAGCGAGTTTCCCCGTTAATTTTGGGGTGCGTTTGAGTGAGTACTCATGGATACGGTTTATGTTGACATGTCTATCCTCCTATAGCATCTGGTCATAATTAGAATCTCAAGAAATTTTCCATAGTTAACATGCATGAACGTCTTGCAAAGAACATTGAACTAATGGAATGGATGTCATTAGTTGGATCCTCTTTGCTGAAGTATGATAATGCTTTAATTTATGTGTTTGTAAAAAGATGGCACTAAGAGACCAAATTCTTTCATATATCGTTGGAGGTGATGATTGTCAACTTAGATCACATGCCATCTCTTTTTTACGTATTATTTTGTTTGTGATTTTTATACTTCTCACGCGATGAGTTTAAATCTTGTTATGTATGTCACCCATGAGTTATTGGGAGCAACCCTACATGAAGTTACTGGTGATATTAAGTGGGATAGAGGTATTCACAATAGATTCTTGTGAGATCTTCATAAAATGCTTGTTATGAAGATAAGCCTACATTTGTTACGAGGACATTCCTTATTTATCTGGTCATATGCACCATTACTACGGACAACGCGCGTCATTTGATGGATGTGAAGTATATTGAGTTGTTTCATTACTTAGGTCATTAAAATTAGGTATAGGGTGCAACCATACTTATTGTGTTTTACTACTACCTTAGACAGATGTATCGTCATGAGACGAGACAACTTGAAGGGTATACATCCATTTTGGTTTAAATATGTAACCGTTCTTGCAAACATATCACTTTCTTGTTTGGGTTTATGATTCTTTCTAATATGTTTCTATTTTGCTTTTGATCTTTGCTTTTTTGTTAGGGTTTTATTTTTTGTCAAGAATGGTTCATGAAACACTGCGCATCAAAGGGGAGCGTGGATCCTGGTACGAGAAATATGGACTACGACCAAGAGCGATAGTATGTGTGAAGATTTCTCGATTCTTGTGGACTCTTGGAGCAAAGACCGTTGTTTATAAATTCTTCTCGTGAAGGTAAGGGTGTTTTCCGATATGGGTTATAACAAAGCTAATGGTTAGATATTATAGAATAAATTATATAATACATAATTTTTCTAAAGAGAATTAAATTTTAGTGTTATTTCATAAATTTCAATCCTTGCTCGAATTATGAATAATAGTTTTATATATTGTGTTTTGTTATATTTGTGGATGAAGCTTTGTTGTGATTATGTGACGTGGATGAATCTTTGTTTTATTTTTTATTGATATTATTATGTGTGGTTGTGATATGAATCGATTATGATTTGATATGAATGATCGTGTAAACTAAATTTTAAGATTGTGTGCTTGATGATGTGATACTATATAGTTACATGATTGTCTAAGTGACGTGAGTTGCCTAAGTGGCGGGAGTTGCATTTTTATCATCATGACATGGCTTATGCATTTATGTGTGACGTCTTAATAAGGGGGGGGGGGTATTTCCCCCCATTTATATGGGATGAATTCTTTGTGGGCATGCATATTCATACATAAAGATATTTGCAAAATGATGATTTTTGTGAATTTGATTTATCTTAAGCTATTATGTTTTTTATGATGTGTTCTATAATATTGTACTGTATATTTTGTTTGGTTTTATTTGATATGGATGATGCAAGATTGACCCCTTACAAATAATGTATCAGGAATGAAGAATTTGAAGATATGAATTTATTGTGATATGACGTGATAGGATATTGCTTGTGCTCGTGGAAATGAAATCACGTTTTTATTGAACTTGTAATTCAATTTAAAATAAATTATACTATTTAAATGTGATAGTTTACTTGAGTTGTGAATTAGAAATCAGTTTATGAATTAGAAATATGGTTTTTACTTCGTAAAAATGAAAATAGGTAAGTTTCTTTTAAAATTTTATTATTGTTGTATGATCTTTTGAAGAAAAAATACTAGTTCCAAAATTTTAAAGTGAATAATTATATTAATAATACCTAGGATAAAAAAATCTAGGATGTTACATAATACAAAGCAATTAATGTTAATAATGTATGCTAATAGTTTGCCATTGCATGTTTTTATTATATTTTTATCCAAAATTTAAGTATTTTTTGCTTTTAACTATGGAAGTTGTGATGATAAAGTTAGGAGAGGACTCTCACACAAGAAACAGGAGAAAATAAAGAGAAACTACAAAGAGAGCAGAAATGATTCGCACCCATCTAGCTGAGTGGCACGATTGGAACATGGAAAGAACAAAACCAGCAATTAAAGAAATAATGTCGCACCAATGACAACACGACCCAATTTTGAGTTGCTCTAAGTAGCGTGCCACATTCACAATGCATGGGAGCACTTTTAATGCGATCAAGGACTATCATGTCATACATATTATAAAAATCTGGGTGCGCGTAGAAATATAGCAGCGCGATTTTCCGATCTAATAATTTTGTTATATATTATAAAATATGCTTAGTCATTAAGGTTACAAATTTTATGATCAATTAGGCAAGTTCTAAAGAATTGGAGTATGGGATAAGGAATTATATCATTAGGGAATAATCGTTAATCATTTATAAGGCTTAATTACTCTTTTTATAATATATTGCTCATGAATCTCTTAAGCGTGAGTGGCTATTCCCCTTATATTAAGTCTCCCTTATATGAATTTTCCCCAATAATATGTATCATGATAAAGTTTGAAACCTTAGGGATCAACAAACGCTAAACCTAAAATGAGAACACATGATTGCATGCGTAAAATGTGTCAGCTAAACTATAGAATCCACCAGATAAAGAAAATATTGAATTTTATTATATTAAAAAGATGATCTTTGACTCACGCTAAAAATGTTAAAAATATTGAAGCAAAGAAACTCTAATGGAATTTTAATCCAAAATATAAATAAAATAGAAAAAAGAAACCCTAGTAGACTTTTAATCAAAAACAAAAATAAAAATAGAAAATTGCGGAAAATGCTAAAACGTAGTTTTTGGGACTGAAACAAACTCGGATGGCTTAAAAAGCCTTCCTATATTAGTCTCCCCCACCTTTTGAAGAACTGAACCCCGAGTTCTCTTCTTTATAAAGAGTTTTATCTGCTTATGAATGTCAGCAATAATTAAAGTATTGGATATATTCATGAAATCCGGGAGAGCTACCACATAAGCATCGTCATTTATCTTTTGGGTCACTATGATCAGATCATACTTGCATGGTTGCAGCTTGCTGTAAGTACCAATTGGAAACCTCTCCTTATGCAAAAACACCATCACATCGTCTCCCATATTAAAAGTGAAATTCTGGTATTCAGATCACAGATGTCTTAAAAAATATTGAGACACATTTTTTCTGAACAAACAAGCAATGACAAGATAAACAATAATCAAAGTGCAGGAAAGTAAAGAACACACAGGATTATTAACCTATTTTGGTGCAAACTGATACCTATTATAGGGGCTACCAAGCCTAGGATCAACTACTAATAGTATCAATTCAAAGCTAAACTCCCTTGTTTACAACTTATCACTTAATCACTACGCTCGCTTAACTTCTACCTAAGACTCGCCTAAGTATGAGACTCT